GCTATTCTCATGCTGGAAGTGTAAGATGTATGTTTCATAGTCAAATATATTTCTTTTCCTCCCTGTGCTGTTGCATGCTGTGCATTCATAGCAGTTGCTACTTCTGCTCTTTGATAAAAACACAGGAGTGAATTTTGTGGTGTCTGCACAGTTCTCTAGTATACATTTTCTCTCTTTGGCTGTGTATACCCTAGGTATGTTTGCCTCACCATGCTCTTGTGTTGGGTCTCAGTCAATGAGCAGGCTTCTACACCGATTTTTGTCTTCATTAGCAGCTGTAGGAGACTGTCCAAACTAGCTAAGCAGCTCCACTGAAATTCACTCTGACACTAAATTGAATCAAGCTTGAGACAAGTCTTATAAAATCTGGAGTATCTTGTTTGTTATCACAAGGCAAAAAAAGCATTCTGCTTTACATTCTTCTGCTTAAGTTTTTAAGGAGCTTAACGGTCTGCTGATTTTTTTAGATGATAAGGTACGTTGATGGCGAGCAGAAAAACCGAGTTGGAGCTGAGATTTTTTGTGTGTGTGCACAGTGTTTCTTTCACTTGTGAGTTAGGAATGGTTATTATGATGGAAAAAACTGACTGTATAAGTCTGATTTGCTTCATCATAATCCGTACATTTGTATTAGAATATTAAGTATGTTTTCAGTATTTGCATTCCTGGAAGCTCCATGTTGCCTGGTGATCCAGGACTGTGAAAATATGAAAGATTTATTGCAGGCAGTTTGAGAGAGCTGAGACTAGTGATTGATCTTTCAGTTAGAGAAAGAATAAAGTAAAATTATTATTTCTGTAATTATTCTTTATAAAAGTAAGAATAGTTACCAAGTACTTTATTAGTTTATTTTACAGGGTTTTCCCCTAATTCTTTTAAATTATTCTTTGTGATAATATTGCCCTTCACTTCATCTGAGGGTTTAAAGCGCACTGTGAAATCAGTTGTGTGCAAATGAGTTACTGCTGTGTTGTTTCTCTGACAAGTGTTTGTATTGGGTATCTAGCTTGTAAGTCAGCAGCAAAACCCATGGACATGGGAGAAGCCCAGTCCTCACCTAAGTAATCATCTGTACTACTCAATCTTAACTACTGGCACAGAGATTTGCTTTGGGAAACAAAAAAAAAAAAAAAAAAGAGAGAACATAAAATGCTTTCCTTAGTTGTAAAAGCTTGATGTGAGAGACAAGCTTCTTTTCCATCGTAGAGGCATATTTCACTTAATTTTTCCTTTGGATTAATTTACCTGTCTGCATATTTAAATGACAAACTGCACAATCTTTTCTGAAGACAGCATTTGCACAGAGGCCTGATTATTTCATATGCATGACTGCTACTGTTGGATTTGTGCCATTTATTACAGTAGGTGATTGCCTCAGCATCTTCCAGCATTTCTTTCGTATAGTATTTTTAAATGGCTTTGTCAAAGCCCCATCTGTCTCGACAGGTGAAAATGCATAGCTTACTGAAACAGATGGCAAATCAGAATAATACTGCCCAGAACCGTCATTTGCTTGCTTGGCTGTTCATAAGGTAATGTCCACTGGATTTGTTGTCTTTGCTTGGAAAGCAGAACAAAGTCAAGAGATTTTTTTTTTTTTTTTTGTAGAGCCTCTTTTTGCAGTGTTTTGAATGTGTAAGTTAAGCAAAACTACCCTTTTCAATGTCATTTTTTATTCTGCCAAACAGTTGAAATGAACATTATTCATAATTGTGAGAACAACTTCTGTTTGTGTAGAACAGGTTATTAATAGAGATCTGCAAACTTCCCATGGGTCTCTGGGCCCTGTTGTATTTTTGTGTTCCTGATTTTCCTTAAACATGTTTGATACATTCAATGGTTATGAACTGTAAAATGGTCGAACAACTGCTTGCTTCTGTTTGGGTATCACTGTAAGTGAACGTTACAATCTGTATTTGGCAAGAACTTTGAAAGACTTTTAAGAGATGCTGTATGAGTGCATGTTATTGCCTTTAGAAAAGCCTCTAGCATCTGCTTAAACTGAACTTTTTCAGGAGTACGAAACTCATGAGAACTCCAAGGGATTCTGAAAGTGCAGATTTTTACCCTAAAATGTTCCTGCTCACACTGCCTTTACCAAAATTTCAGTGAATGTCATTGCCATTTTCTGCTGGAGGTTGTTCTACTGCTGGAGGCTTGCAAGTGGAGATGTTTTTGTAAATCCTCTCAGGGCTGTCAAAAGATGATGCTGCTTGGGGTGGGAAGAACATACTGGAAGTTTAGTAGATCTGTATGCTTCCCAGCTATGTATTTAAGACTATACGAGTTAGTTCAATCTGCCCTTACCTATACATCACTCATTCTAAAGAAAATTTGTATGTCTCTCGTCCTTTTAAATGGTTGAGGTGACCTCCACGTAAGTTGAGAAACATTGATCTCATGACCTCAGATGCCTGTTAAATGCCTTGCTGGCATTTACATCTGCTGTCTGTTTGTTGGTATTGAGAACTGTTCATTACCGAGTTGATACATTTTTATTAACTTCTGCCTGTCATCGTTTTAAAGGTAGCTACATTGCCAGGATTTATTTTTATATGTGTTTATACATACATAAATAAAAAATAATTGAATCTGAAGCTTTTAAATACTTTTTGTCTTTACATCTCAGATTAATAAAACTGACTGACTACAGCTTTCTCTAACATAAAAAAGCAGTTAGTGTGTCTGTTGCAAACTGGCAAGCCTAATTTTTATGCTCTGAAAACCTTGGAGAACCTCATAGGTCACTTAAGGTTTCTGAATGTCTTTAACTTCCCTGTCCTCTTCAGATCATCAACATGAAAATAGTATAATTTCATCTGTTAAATGGACAAAGAGCTGTTTTGTGTTTTTTGTTTGTTTTTTGTTTTTTAATAGGACTGTTCTAGCAATGTTTTGTTTCACAGAATTTCTATGAGTGTAACTTATTTCCATGTAGACTCCTGATATACTTCTGTTGTCAGTAAATGAAAACAACCAACCAACCAACCACCTTTTTGAAAATGGTGCATTCTTGTGCACCATTCTTGATTTTTGAGACTGGTTTCTGATGTTTTTTCAGTTTATTCTTACTATGCATTGCCCACATAATACACTTGTCTGTTAGAAGCTATCTGTGTATGAAAGGCACATCCTCAGTTCAATTTTTTATCTTTTAGAATCAGCAATTACAGAAATCTTTAATGCATGGCTTTTCTGTTCTGCTTGCCTTGGGGACATTATCAGATGCTGTGAGACTTGAGACTGCTTACACCACTTTGTGTACATAACTATGATGTTTTACTTCTCTCTGCCAGTGGTAATAAATATCACACAGTGATTGAAGATGGTTTTATTTGATTAAACCAATGTACTTGCAACTGATGTAAATCTTTGGATTGTGACTTTGTTTTGGGTCTGACTGTTACAGTTCCAGAGGTTTTGGTGTTTGCTGCCCCAGTTGAGTCCCTCTCAACTTAAAATTGGGCAAAATATTTTTAGTGCTCTGTGTGCTGTCTCCATATTTCAAGCCATGGACTAGACTGAAATAGCAACCTTCATGTTTTCACTCCTCTTCACAGACAAATCAGGACATTCTGTTAGCATCTCCCCCCTGAGCCGTTTACACACGTGTGTGCAGGCTGCACAACGTGCTCCTTTGCCATGCCTCCAGCTGGAGGTGTGGGGGGATCTCCAGAATTTCTGTGGGTAGAAGAAAAGTTCCAAATCAGGCAGCTCTGGCTGAGTCAGAGGCAGGACTGTGCTGCGCTGGAGGCCGTTGGTACCTCCCCTTCCTGAGGTGGCAAAACACTTGGAACAAGGAGGATGGAAAATCAAGATGGTCAAGCCCTTTCAGTGTCTTTTAATCCTTTTAGTTTGGCAGCAATAACTTCTGCTTTAATACTGGAAGCAATATCCAGTACAACACGTAACTTCTTTCTGTCAGATTGATTTCCTTCTTAAACTGCAAACTCACTTTTTTTTTTTTTTTTTTTCCTTCAGTTGTACAGGAGTTTGTGTAAATCTGTGGGGTAAACAGAGCAATTGTAGGGATGCATCATTGTTTCCACAAATGGGAAGCAGGAATGCAGTCACCTATTCTGTGTCAGTGTTACATTTAAGATATTGATTGCTGTAACAAGATACATTTTTCTGGGATTTCATCATTGGCTGTAAAACAATGATTTAAAGCTTGTCTATAAGAAGTTGAGTACAGAAAAAGAGAAATTGCTCAAGTCTTCTGAGGATCTTGTTTGTCATCTTAATCTCGCACATACGTGTTTTTAAATGAAATGTTCTCTCTGTGGTGCTGTATTTTAGGCTGTCCTTTTCCCAGCAATGATACACAGAAACTCAATTAAATGTGTGGCAGCAAGGGGGAAGGGGCACATGTTATCAAGGTCTTTCTCTTACAGATGGTGTGTATTCTGTTTCCCATGAGCATCACTTAATGCTCATTCAGCTGGTATTGCTAGAGAAATAACTTGCCTCGTTAACCACCATAAAACAGTGTTTGGTAAACTAGCTCTGAAGCAGTGTTTTGAGATGTTATTACCTGGAACCATGTCTCAACTTTTACTGGTAATTACGGTTTTTGAAGGGGTGGGCAGGAATGACCAGGATTAAAAAGCAATAAAATTAGGTACTTCCTTCTTTAATACTCCTTTCCAAACTGTCCTGGGCACTTGGTACACATCAGGCTCAGTTAATTGGCCATGAATCATGGAGCCCATTCCCCTTTTTCTGCCTTCTCAGTGCCTTATGTGTTCTCTTGAGCATCTGCTCTTGCAGACAGTTAGGAAATGCTGCTCCAGAGGACACTACGTGCATTTTCTCCAAAGACTCTCATTATATATGCCAAATCTATGTAGTAGCAAAACGTGGCAACATCCTGAAATAAGACATTCTGTGGGCAAATTTGTTAAGGTTTGTATTATGGCACTCACTGATGTAATAATCTAAAATAATACTTGGTGCTTGTTACTTTTTTTAACTTCATTTTTTTTTATTTTGGCTTTCAGCTCAGATCGACTGATAGAAGAAACAATAAGGTAGGAATGAATTTACTAATTTTCATTATTTTCTGTACAATCAGCATTTGCACTGAATTGTGTCTAAAGATACCAGTCATTTTATTTATACAATAGCTGTATTGTTTACAACTCATATGCAATATTACAGTGAACTGGTGGTGGGGTTTGTTGTGCTTTTTTTGTTTTGGTTTGGTTTGTTTTTTTATTCAGTGTTGACATAATGGTGTTGTTTAAATATTTTATTCAGCCTAGTTTAGAAAATTTGTGTTTCTGTTCAAAGGTGAATAGCCCCTACAGAAACAAAGGGAATGATTGAGCAGAGTGAGTCTCAGATTGAGCTGTTGAGAGCTATTGCAGTAGTCATGCTTTTTCTTCTCACAGTGACACTCTCCTACAACATGATTTTCTGTAATCTTTAAATGTGTTTAGCACCCTCTTGTGCAGCTGATACAGGTAAAGGCTTTTACCACAAGGGCTTGAGAGATTACTGCTGTTGTATAGTTATTATGTAATTTGAATACTTGAGTGATACCTTCTCTAACTGATCTAGAAATTTTAGAACTGCAGCATCGTAAATTACTTTTATCATCTCTGCCCTTCCCAATCTTCCACTGAGCTCTGGGATTTTGCACACCAATAATTCAGAGTGCCCGATGTAATGGTTTTAAATTTTAGATTATTGCTTAAAAAAAAAAAGGGGGGGGGGGAAGAAAGAAAGCAAGATATGCTTTCAGATAATGCATATACTGGCATAAGTGATCAAGAAGAGTAATTAGAGGCACAGCAAGGCTCTGTGTCCATTAAGGGCTGGCTAGCTTAAGTACAAGCAGTGGGCTCAGTATAATTAACATGGTGGAAGAATGTGTTAAACCACATTAATGTGCAGTGATGAACCTGCAGTAGTCAGTACAATAATGTCTGAAAATGTGGATGTAATCTCGCCACAACCTCATAAAGGTATTTGCCAAACTTGGCACAGTTACTGAGGGTTTTTGTTTTCCTTTGGGTTCTAGTCCTTTCCTGATTAAAAATCTTCTCCTTTATTGACATGCTTGTAGCCCTACTTTCCTGTCTTACAAAGCTCAACATCAGTTGAATCTCTTATTTGCTGCCACTCCAGTAAATAGAGCATTAAGCAGCATATTATGATTTATTAAGCTTAATATCCTGCAAAATGACTCGTAACTTATCACTTGAGCTCTTTGCCTAGCTTCTTGATTATGTGTCATCAGAGAAGCTGCGAGTACGTGTATTTGTGATCGGTGAACCTCCGTGTCGATTTACCTGTGCAAGGGAACATAGCCGTGGCAAACCAGAGCTCACAACAGGGCAGTTACCCAAATACTCAGGTTCCTCCATCAGCCTTGACCCTCCTCAGAAGCTCTAGGATGCCACCTGTAGGTGTCCTGGATGGTTTAAAACTTCTTCAAGTTTCATTTGCATGAGTTACAGTTCTGTGGTTGACTATAACTTGACTATCTTCACAGCGACTGCTTCTCACGCAATAATCCCCACCACATGCTTGGGTCAGAGGTCTTTGGTGCTGTTTACTGAAAGCATTCCTTTTGTTAATAAATGAACTTTGATTTTTAAGAGGCTGCACTCCTTGTCACATCATTTATTATCTATAGTAAATGAACTTGTTGTAGTTGTTGCCAAAAATGTTCTAATTTTTTTTTGTAGTAAAAGAGCTTGTTTAGTAGCTACATTGAGCAGGAAATATAATATCATTTGTATCATCTTAATTCAATTCTGACATTGAAACCAGAATGAACTTTTTGTTTTACTATTTTTCTTGTCATCCCCAGTAATTGCACGGATTCAGGTATGATATTAATTGGTGGTAAACCCTGCTGCATTTTAAGTGATTTTTACCAGGTAAAAGTGTATCCAACTTCTGATTATCAACTGCTTTGTCTATTGTAAACCAAGTAAAAGAGGGAATTGTGCAGGGGAAGCTGTTCAAATTCAGATTTCTTGTGTGAAGTGAGATGTACTTGGCTAATTCTGGCTACTAATACTGCTCTGTCTTCAAGATTTACATATGCTGTAGATCATTACGCATTATTTGGGTGTAAATCAGGAAGTCAAGAAATTTCTTTGTATTTTTTTAGGGATTGCTATTAAGCAGTGTTTCCAAACACTGGAAACATTTTGCTGTGTGTGCAGAGGCTTTTGTTGACAAGGTGCATACCGGTGACCCCATTGCCAGGGACTCTACAGTTAGCAATAATTGTGAAACCCTTGCTCTAACTTTCTGCAGAGAACCAAAGAAGTGCAGAGCCTGACTGTTCCTGTGTGTGGTTCCTCCACAGCAGCAAACATACGTGCAAGAGAATTTATGGGTACCTAAGCTGAAATGATTCAGTAACTAAAGTGATAAGTAGGGCTGTCATTCCAGATGTTTTGTTAGTACTAAACTTTTAATCAATTTTAAAATGATTTACGTGACATGGGTTCTTACTGCAGCATATTTCTTTCTAGAAACGAGTGGGATGTGATACTGCAGTTCTTTTGGAACAGTGTTCACTTCTCTTGGCCAGATTTAAATATAAGCAAAGATTTTGCTTAATATGTTTGATGTTCTCAGGTTTTCATTTCAAACATTATCACTTTTCCAAAATAGCAAACGATTTATTTCTTATTTTCCAACAATTTGTATTTTTAGGTTGGCTCAGTTTGAATTTTTTTATAGTTCTGCATGTACAGCGTGACAAGTTCTTAGGATTTTATTGTAATACTGTTTCTGAGGCCTGATTCAGGCTGATTTGTTAGTGTTTGTATATTAACAGATTGGCCTACTCTACTTCCACTCTGAAGCCAGACCAAAACCATAGGTTTAATTTTGAAAAAATCATCTCCTTATGTACTTGGGGTATTTCTGTAGATAATAATTAGGATTTAATAAAAGAATTCACTTGCATTGAATCCTTGACAGAATGGAAAGGAATGAGTTAGATTTTGAGTCTTAGCCCTTTTCAGAAGAGTGCCTAGGCAAAATCACTTGCCTTTCTGGGGAAATGTTCCTTTTATTTTCATTTTGGGCTTCATCAAAAGACACAATAGTCTTTAAAGTAATTTGAAAGATTGTGTATCTGTAAGTATGCTTGTGTATATATATATATACACATATGTGTATATTTATAGATATGAATATATATGTATGTATACACAAAGAATAAGCAATAGAATCGGAATTTTTACCAATTTAAAACTAAAGCTTGCATTTCTGTGTAGAGTCACAGAGTCCATTCTCTTAATCACAGACATTGTCATGAATTTAAATGAGCAAGTATGATTCATGGAGTACCAAATGAAGCAGAAGTTCCAGTAATACATCAATTATTTGATTTTTCAAAGCATGTCTTGTTCCTTTAGAGCTTTGTTTTAGTTTCTTATCAATGTAGATTTGACTGAGCTGTCTCAGGATGAAGCAAGGAGTTGATTTTTTTGGTACGTTTCACTTGATGATATGCTATATTGTGTATGGCTTCTATGTGGGGTGAAAATAGCCAACAGCTTAAACATTTGTCTCAGTAAAAACACTTTGCTTCCAGGTCAAGCAGCATTAAAAGTGTTTCTCTGCAGGTTAGATAGTTTGACTGTGATAATGGCTGGAAGTGTCTACTACTCTGTACTTTTTCATGCCAGTGAAAACTGCAAACTGTGTACAAATGTCAGTTGTTTTGCCTCTGAAGTGAAATTTGGTTGCTTGTGTACCCACAGCCCTACTGAACTTTCAAGGACGAACTTGAAATGTAAATGAAATTTTGAGGAAATATGGCTGCAAGCACAGGAATTTGAGATAGTCCTGCAGATTCGTGGAAGAGATGGGTGGGCACTTTGTGGCTGTGACCTCAGGCTTACCTAGAAGAGATTTCCCCAGTAGCGCAGCAATCTTTAATGTTGTACTTCAGCAGTGCTTTAATATTAAATAGAGAGAGCAGAATACCATCTGGTTTTAGAAACTTGGTTTACACCCAACTCTAGTAGTTCAAGCCAGTGCAGCACCGAGAATAGTTCATGCTAGTTTCCAAATGAAACGTTAAATTGGGGTCATCTTGATTCCAGTAAGAAGCATTTAATCTTTTATCGTAAATGTTGTGTAGAACTTTCAAAACATAAGAAAAAGATATTCCTGATCTGGGGAGATTACAATGTCAAGTAACTAAATGGGGCCAGTATTGTGAATGGGAAGAATATGATTATTTTTTTTTTTAAATGCATTTGTCAGGGAGGAAATGGCAACAGTAAGTCAATAAGCATATGTTAGGAATGGGAATGAAACCAAAACTGTCTAATGAAGGATATGAGGAAGCTGCAATACTTAAGGCTGTACAAGACCAGTCAGTGGTCTAGTCCCCAGGAGCTGTGTGTTTTCTGGCAGTTCTTAAATTGAATAGTCTCACAGATACAAAGGCTTAGGTAAACCAGCTCATGTTTTGAGTAATTAAATTGTACATGAATAACAGTGCTTTTTACTTGAATTTTGACTTGTTAATGGTAGCTAGAATCCAGTTAAACTCTTGTTCATGGATATCAGAATTACATTTCATTACTAGACCATATCGTATTTAAAATGGTAATTACTACAATTTTTTTTTCTTCAGAGCTCTTCAGTAAAACCTAGCCCGTTGAGCTAATTTTTTCAAGATACTGAATAAAAGACAGGAAGATTGTTTCAATCTTGTAATATGTAAACTTAAACAGTTACATCCTGCCTTTTTATATGAAATGGACAGTTTCAGTCCTCAGATGTTAAAGCAGGATCCTTGTGTTCCATGATGATCTGTAGTAATTATTTCTAAAGGCATTTTGGTGGTGGCTCAGGAACACTTTATATCTTGGCAATCATCTTGTATTTTCACTTCTGTAAATTAGTGGATACCTTAATGAGTCATTGGATGCATCTTATGAAAACATGTGGCTTAATTCAGGGGTGCTTTGAGAAATGCTGTATTAAAACTTCATCTGGACAAGTATCAGCTCAGTGTGGGGGTGTAAGATAAGAAGCTGGAGGTTACTGAGCAAGCTTTCCTGTGTACAGTTAGGAAATTCTGGATTTTTTTCAGCTTGGTTCCTAGCAATTCAAAATTTCCTGAGTGCTCTTCTCAATAGCGAATGTAATGATTTTGTGAGTTTGTTGCTTTTTATGTTAGAGGACTAAAATACCTGTATGCTGAGTTGCAAATATATATAATCTGTCAAATGCCCTATCTTCTCACATGTGATACGATTTGATGTACTTACTGTTCTAATTTTGTAGCCCCTTTTTCAGCCCTTGATAGTGACTGCTTTTTCTATATTGATATATAGCTGTTTATTCTCTATTCAGAATTTCTGCTAATGCCTTCTCTTAGATGCTTTTCTTTGTATACTCATGCACTTCTGGATAGACAATGATTTGATTCTTCATTTCTCTAATCTAATTTTAACATTCTTTTCTTCTAATTTTAGTACCGAAAAGGCTGTCCTGTGTAATCAAATAAATCAGTAGCATTTATGGCTTAGGTGAAGTGGTCTATCCACAGGAATAAGCATATTCAACGTGCCGAGTGACAACACTACACAGTCTGAGGAGAGGCTTTGTAGACTTTCTTCTGATGTTTTTGCAGAAACAAGTAGTTTTGGTTAGCTGATTCTGGCAACCCCTTGTTGCTTCCAGTTAACCATGAGTTTCATTTTCACTTTGTGCTGATTTGGCACTTCAAAAGTATGAAAGAAGACATGCTAAATAGCCAACTGTATGTAAAAAATGCTTGAAGGATTTTATGGTTCTGCCCTAAAACTTCCTTCTTTTTTCTTTTTTTTTTTTTAAATCTAATACTTCGAAACTTAGTATTAGAATGTTAACTGTGTTCCTATAGAGTTACTGATTGAAAATATCAGGGTTTGCCTACTTGTTCTTAAACAGTTATATTCTCTTTATGACTGATAAACTCTGGATTTCCTAATGTATGTCCAAGTTTACCAGAATGCTAATATAACCTTAAAATAATATATTGATCTGCCCTGTCAATGTGTGTTGTTCTATTTAAAAGAATTTGCTGTACAGAGCTTTTGGAAGAGTATTTTCTCTGACCTGAAAGCTATGAGAGCCGTAGGCAGGCCCTTCTGTCACCTTTGTCTCACATATGTTTGTGTGATGAACTTGTCTTGCTTTCCAATTTATTCTGCTACCACTAAAACCAAAATCAGACCACTTACAATACTCGGGCTTTGGCTTGGTGATCTCTTAGTTTTTATGGGCAAAACTAGAGTGGGAAAAGGCAGCCTCCATCTGAAGAGGTGGTAGCAGATTTTTCCCTCTTTTTTTTTTTATTTATTTTTTCTTAAAGTTTGCCTGGCACATTATAGGAAGGCTGAAGATACTGTATCAAGGGCTGCTTGAGATGGCAGATATAATGGAAGGGAGCCCAAACTAAACTGCTCCAGAAATACTTTAGGGATCATTGATCCAGGTTGTTTTCTTTAAGATCTTTGTGAACAGTGATGCTGACATTTCTCTGTAAGTCTTGAAGGGCAGTTGTTAGGCTTGGCTCTGCTGGGTTTTGCCAGCTATTCTGGTGATGCTGGCTGTGGTGTCCTAGACAAGAAGCCAGTGGTACATCTACTGATCCAGAGCTGCTCATTCCCAATATTGTTTTGTTCAGAGAGAAACCTGGAATAGTGTGTCAAATGGTCTTTGTTATAAAAACATCAGGAACACTAGTTCTATCTTTAATACGTGTACAAATACAATTAATGTGTGTGGCTTTTTCTACCAGATTTACCTGGAAATAAACAGGTGGTTAAAGGTACTTTTTTTATCCCCTTCCAATACTAAAATGCCAGGTCAACCTAAGTACTTCAGTACTAACATCTGGACAAATGATGTTTCAACATTTTAGCTGTTACAGAAGGATAAGCCCAAAGTCTTGAAACCCAGATGAATTCAGTACAGAACAGTGCTCGAGGATTGAGCAGGTTTGTTCAGAGACTTCAGTAGTAAATATTGAGGCTTTATGTAAAATGCCATGTCCAGTTTATACTGCAGAACTTGAGAATAATGTTAGGCTTGGACTGCGTGCTTTGGTGCTTTGTACCTTCCTCTCCTTAGAAATAATGCTCACGTTGGCTGTGATTTTTGTTTTGTGTTTGTATACAGACACTGAACGTGAGCAAACATAAAATGCCTTTGAAAATTTGAATGTCTGTATTGGGTAAAAAGCATTTTGCATTTTCTTATCTGTGTGTTCTCCTCTGAAATTACAGCTTTAGTTCCCTTTTCTCATATTTATATCTGTTGTGTTGTGTTGTTCTACTTAACTTTCATTCTTCCAGAATATTCTCCCTCCATATTTAAGCCTGACAAACTTGTCCAAGAACTTATTTTAATCGTTGTTATTCATGTAGATACAGTCAACAGCAGTATAGGTGACATTTTCTGAGTTATTATCCAGCCATGTTGTATTTATGTCCTACTTCATTTATTTTTGAACTGCATGCCAGCCAAGAAGAGCAGTATTTGTCATACTGTTCCTTCTTAAGCACCATATCTCAAGAGCCTGAACTTTTATGTACCATTTCTCTAGATGTAAATGAGTTTGTCAAAGTAGCTACATGAAATACTACCTGGGGCTAAAAGTAGTAGCCTATCCTTTCATTTTCCATCCTATAACTCTTTGTTTCATGAGCTGAAAAGAAACTTAAGGTAGAGAGACATTTTTGGCAGCTGAGTAGTTCTTTAAAATCTTCATTTAAATGTCTTATTTTTAAGAGCACAGTTGCTTTTTTCCAGCTTCCAGAATGTATTAAATTTGAAATGGGAGATTTGTCTTATATTCACCTGTATTGTGTTCTTATATTTAGATAAAGTACATACAGCTGGATCATGCATTCATAAAGAAACAGAGTATGAAAACTTATATACCCATGAATTATATTCTTAATTAGGACCGAAGCTCAAAAGTGTATTTTATCTGTGCTGTGTTGGAAGCATCATTTGATATGGTTTGTACACCAGCTCCCTCAACTCCAGCTTGTGGAAAACAGTCAAATTGGACTTGCTGGGAAGAGACGTTAATGCAGGAGAATCCAAGCTTCGCCCACTTATCTTGAGTCAGGGGACAGTATTAATCTTGGGACAAAGCAATTAGATCCCAGCACTTCATTGTGCTTAAATGTCTTCAAAGACCTGGTGGCTGTATGTCCCAGTTTGATTGTCCAGAAACCTTCTGTGCGAAGCTCCATGAGCTGTGTTGGGTCTCAAACTGCACTTGCCCCTCCTCTCAACCAGCATGTTCACTTTGCAAATTGATTTTTAATTGTGAGTCATCTCTTACTTGCTTAATACCTCTGTAGCCATCATATCCTGATGGCAGAGAAGAAATCTCATATGCTCTCTGGAGTGAAAGTAAGTATGGGGCTTCTATGATTAAACAAGCTTCTAAATTTAAAACTTATGCCAGAAGATACCTTTTAGGTTTGCTTGTAATGTAGTACCATTTTTTGTTGGGGCTGGGGGAGATATGCCAAAACCTTGCCTGTTTCAAGAAATCGCAGTGCTTTCAATTGTTAATGGCTCATAGAAAAAGAGAAATCATTTAAGTGTAAAGGATAGAGATTAATGGAAAAAATGTGGTTTCATTCATATTGCTTCACCTCATTCATTGTTCTCTACAGAAGCGTTGCCTGCTTGCTCTCCTCTTGTTTTAGATGTAGATTATTCTTAGCACCAACAACTTGAACCACTCTTTTTCTTTCTCCAGCATTGCCATGGCAACTAAAGAAAATATGACTTCACAGAGAGGGATATTGAAGTCAATACAAAACAAGATGAATACCTTGGCTAGTATCCTTTCCAAAAAATTTGTGCTGCCAGTGCGTAAGAAGAGGTATAGTACAATTTTTCACTCTGTCATTTGGACATCACAATGCTTTGCAATGTCAAAGGCTGTATGACCTGTGGAGGTGTTGTCATTAGTGATGAACAGACCATTTTTTTACCAGTCTCACTTGATAATCTGATTGAAGCATCTTAATGATGAATGTGGTGAATAAGTTGTCTTTACTCAAATTTGAATACTGCATATAAAGCAATGTAGCTTCATTTTCAGGTAGAGATCTGCAGTGGCATTTTATGGCCTTCCCTGCTATATGTTTTCATAAAAGTATAATTTCATTTTACTTTTTGCTTTCAAGACTGTCTAGAGCTGAAGCTTGGCATACATTGCTGCTTGTAACAGTTTACAGCTAAGAGTATTCATGACCTGCGTATCCTCTTGTCTGTCACAGTCTTGCAGATGTTAAGATTTTATCTTGTTGGTTTCTCTTCATATTCTGTTCTCATGGCTAAAGAATGTACCGGACTGTCAGGTCGTGCATGCTTGTTGTTTTCCCACTTATTCCTTCCTTTCTGTCGTAGGGGCCCACAGAACAACATTAGCATCGTTTGATTAGACAGATTACATCCTGAAGAGATGTATCTTGGTAACCCATAAATTTCATTACAGTTCTTAGCAACTGGCAAGAACAAAAAAAAAAAATAAAAATAATTCAATAAGCCTTGGCCTTAAAAGATTCTTGGTTCCAAAGACATGAAGCTCTGAAGCTTATTATCTTGTTGGCAATTGTATTTTGTACATTAAAAGATAGATTTACATCTTTATGATATTACAGCAGGAGGAGTTCCTCCTTATGTGCTATACTTTAACAGTGCACAGTCATGCAACATGCGTGGTTCTCTCAGTCAAATGCTTTTGGTTGTTCCCTTCACCAGTATCAGAATTCCATTAAATAAATTCCACAGATGTTTTATATAACTGCCCCATTTATTTTTTTTTCCATTCTCATTTAAACACAATTGTTAAAAGTAACTAAGCCTCATGTATTGGAGAGTAAAGTATATAAAAATCTGGTACTTTAGATAATCAGGTGATGAATTCTATGTAAGTGTGAACACTGGGCAGTTCTGTGCTGCCTTTTCTCTGTCTGTTATTAGTGAAATACAGTTGTAAATCTGCTAACTATCCATCAGGGTTTTTTTACTGCATCTGCTTTCTCCAGATTGGGAGTAGTTCTGCATTTCTTGCAGTGTTGGGATTTCCACATACAGACTTCAGGGCTTGTTAGTGAAGATACTGTTTGCTGATATGACCTTGACTCAGACTTCTTAAAGATCGGTTTCCAGCAGTGAACAGCCTGATTCAAAGGATCAACCTTCGGAAACGACGGGATTCCCTCATCTTGGGTGGCGTTATTGGCATCTGTACCATCTTACTGCTGCTATATGCTTTTCATTGATGGATGTTACCCCACGGACTCTGCTAAACTCATCATCACCATCCCTCCCCCCAGTCAAGGAAAAGTGAGTGGGGGAAGCGACAGACTTCAAAGGGCCTGCTCCTCATGGCTGGGAGTGGCAGCATGGTGTCTAGAGCTTATGATGGTAGACTGCGACACTGGGTTTGGGTTGAAGCTGCAGTGTTTCTCCTTCCCTGCCATACATCTTCCTTTGGTTAAATTTTGTGGGATTTGTTTGTCTTTAATTCCCTTTCTCACTGCAAGGTAAGTAAATATGGGATGCTTACCAGGACCGATAGAACAGCTTCTGTGCTCAGCGGTGCTGAGGAGGTCTGTTGTTGGCTGGTAAGTGGAAAAAGATTGTTAGGCTTGCCTGGGGTGGAAACTCAGCAGGAAGCCAGTTTCCCTCATAGGCCAAGCACAGGACTGAACACTTTTGCCCTGTGAGAATATTGCAGCTTTAAGCCGTCAGGTTGCTTTACTACTAAATACATGTTCTGTAATTCTTTTTAACTCATGGTTGAGATACTAGTTATTTCTGCATAATTTGTGCTGTGAAAACTGTGCTTCACACAAATTCCTCAAAGTAAAAAAAAAAAAAACAAAAAAACAAAAAACCAAACCCAAACAAAAACAAAAAACAAACCCAAACAAACAAAAAAACCCCAAACAAAAACAAAAAAAGGTTGTTCAGTTCAATTTTTACACAGAATATGAATAAACTACCCTCTGAGGAAGATTGGTAAGGTTTCTTTTGGCTTTAAAGGGACTAACAAGTCCCCCTTTGTAAAAAGGGAGCAGTGTTCTAGCAGCTGTTTACTACAGTGTTCAGTCATCTGAAAAGTGACCAAACGTGAGTTCACCTAAAGATAGTCTTTTGGATGTTAATACTTTGATTTTGGCTGGCATCATAGAAGTCTTTATAAAGACATGATAAGCAGTTTGGAAAACCTATATTGTAATTTAGATAAAGTTATTCTAATAGCATTAATATTTTTACACCTAAGTAGGATATAATCTAAACTGTTAATTGGAAATGAAAATTATGACAGTCATACCTCTGAGGCAAATGTATCTGCGTGCATAATTTTGGACTTAACTCCTCATAGTAAAGAGTTGAATGTATGAATAGTGAAACAAGTATTATTTACCATTATCGGGGGGGGGGGGGGGGGGGGGCGGGGGAGGAAATTTTTTTTGTCCAGACATGCAACATGTTGTGTTTGCATTTCTGAACAAAGCTGATGTCAGGAATGGCTTTGATATTGCAGATTCACAAGTTAGAGATTTTCCTGCTCTTTCAACATCTCTTTTCCATCTGTCATATCATAACCCAGTAAATTCAAACTGAGGCACTGAAGTATCTTTCTAAGAACTTGATTAACTCTTTTCACAATCAGTTTACAGTGCTTCTAACAGATTTCATGTATGCCATTACCCACAAATGTCACATAGTCTCCAGGTTCTCCTCTGGAACAAAGTCTAGCAGGACGGCCACAATTTTTTACTGCTTTTTATAGTGTCTGTGAAGTACCTGTTGGAAGGAGTAGAGACTTGTGCCTGTGTAGTGTGCAAAACCACACTGTTGCGCCTAAAATGTCTGTATGGATTTGAAGGCTTATTTGCAGACTAATAACTGTGCTAAATAGTCAACAAAGGCTTCTAATCGGTCATCTTGTTGTTGGGATTAGAAAACATTGGAATTAATACATGTAAAACTGGGATTTGGTTTTTAAATAAAGGGTGATTATTTGGTTAATTTGGGAATGTTCCTGATTTGAAATGAACTGTTCATTAAAGGGGCTTATGAAAAACCTTGATGGATAAGGAGGTTTCTTAATGATCTGTGTGTTGGGAAATCAAACCTCTTCTTCCCAATGCTTTTTCTTTGATTCCACCACCACCCTAAGGAACCCTGATCAGCAGTTGTGCTTCTGTTTAGGATTTGTAGGATTTGGTTGCTATATAGTTGGCAATATGAGATCTGCAGTACCGTAAATAAATTCACTTATTTAATCTTATAACCAGTCTTTTTACTGGACTTAATTGATTATTTGGTGCATATATTTAATCTTATTGTGTGAAAAAGCTGCTATGGAAAATATGTAGATTATAATAAATATGTAAACATAATTGATTTTTCATGTTATGAAAATATTATGAAGGAACTGATATATTTTGGTATAAAATAACGGAAATATGCTCAATGATCTCTGATAAAGCTTTACTGGAAGTGGCTTCAGTGTTGGCAACCCCTCCATGGTTTTTATTTGTGTTGGTTTTGAGACTGAGTCTTGTGTTGGCAACTACATTTAATTAACCTTGTAGTCTCCCCTTCATCATCTTCTTGTAGTCCTCCAGCAATGCGAGCAGGCGCTCTGCACTGCTCTCTGAAGTGGTGTGCTTGCATGTAGCCGGCAGGAAAGACTTGCTAATTCTCCTCAACGTCTCTAATAACACGGACCTATAGTTAGAGCGATGGACTTGAAAACAGTGAATTGTAGTATTTCATCTCAATTCCCAAAATATAGGTTTGTATGTCTCCTGTTGCTAAATATGTTCTCTAAGTTTCTCATTCTGTGAGGTTCCTCTTGCTCTGAGTTAAAAAATGTGGTTAAAGAATTCTCATTTCTGCAATTTCTGGCAAAGTCGCTGTTTTGTAACTCAACCAAATAGAATTGTGCTGAGAAAATGATTGCCAAGCCATAGAAATGCAGCAAGTAAATCCATAAGATTTTCTACAGGGCACATTACCACACACACACTTTTTAAATTTCTGCATTATTCTTGCTGGTACGCAAGCACGTATTTTAACCAACAACCCCTTAGCTAGGCATTAGAACATAAGGGATCCTCTTGATAACTTCTGATGCCACGCTTCACACGGCCATGAATATTTTTATCCTTGCTCTTTAGGCTATTTTTTTATCTGTTTATCTGATCTTCCAGTGCTGGTTGCTAGAGCAGAGGAATGGCATTCGGGCAACACCCAGCATTGCATGTGGAGTCAATAGTGAGTGTTTGTGTGGCCGGTCTACGGATTTACCCCCAGTCCTGCAGAGTGTGCCTGAGCACGGGCAGAGGCAGGGTTTGCAGTCCCCAGGGTCTCTGGGACCAAGCAGCGTGGTGCTTCTGGTATTAGGAGAGTTTGCCCTTCCTGGGAAGGCACAATTTTTCTTAACCAATATTGATTTCAGCAGGTTTTGCAGGTATAAAATCCTGCTGGATTCATTACACTGAATTATCAACTAGAATTTTTCATTTGTAGCTTTAGATGTCCTTTCTTTGAACGGTTTTAAGATTACTGTGAGAGGAAAGAGTCAGTTCCTCCCTAGGTGTGTTGAAAACAAAAGAGCAGAAAAGGATTTTTAGGTGATGTGAAAGTTTCAGATAAATTGTTGACAGCTGGTCCTCCAGGGCTGCATCCTCTGAGGAGCTGTGTTCCTGAAGCTCCCCCAAAACTGCAGCACGGGGAGCGAAGTCTGGTCCACCGCTTCTGATTGTGTAACTCACTTAGTTGGGACTATTTTAACTCTCTAAAAGTAGCAGCTTGTTTCCCAAGATCACTTGATGCATAACCTTTTTCTATTTTTACTTTCTTTTTCCAAAGCTTGCAGTTGAATCAGGAAGGAGAGGTAACAGCTGTATCACTTCTGAAGGAGGAAGTAATTCTGAAACTCCTTATAAAAATATTGGATTATGAAATCTGTCAGAGCAGTGGCCCTGTTGAGCAATGCACAGTACAGGAGACTACCAGGAAAGATGTACTGAGACTAAACTGAGCCATATTCTAGGTGACATCTGCAAATCCTCCTGGTGCCATGTATCTCTCCTGTCAACTAGATATTTGAAACCAGTGGTGATAGTTCCAGTTCTGAATACATGAGGCTGTTGGTCTGTTGACTACTGAGTGAGGAAAGCAGTTTAAATAAACACTCAAGACAAAAAACCAAAACCCTTTCTCACAAAATATCCCAGTCCAGACCCTTGTGAGTTTCTGATTGCACTTTCTGATTTTTTGCTTTTCGTACAGCTTCTTGAAACTTATTTTATTGCAACTGTAATTATTTTTGTTCTCACCTATTGTGTGTTCTCTGTATGTATTAAAAAAATAAAAAGCTTTGATATGTAATTTAATAATAAATTAGAATTCTAAGCAAGGTGCTTGGTTCTTTCCCCATGACAATCTTTGCCTACCTAAACTGCAGGGAAGATGCAGAGAAGATCAGTCTCTCCAGTTTGGAATTGTCACTGAACATACGGATTAGTGTGTTCTCCATTTTTGTACCAAATATCAGATGTGATGGAGCATTTTCTGACCCAAAATGCTTGGTTTGACAGGAAATGTTCCTCCTGCCTGCCTGTGCAGACCTGGACTCCCCTTCTCCCCTTCTGTTTCAAGCATCTGCGTTGGAAGGGTCTCAATATAGTCATGACTTTTTTTCTTGCTGTTCTTTGACAGATGGAACAAGGATGGTTTTCTTTAGAGGTAAGCTTTGAAAAGTTTTCTATGTATCCATAGTATAAAAAGTTTAATTTCCAAATACACACCAAAACTGATGCATCAACTGATGTTGATTTGAAGAGCCTTCTCAGCATAAGGTGCCTCCCCCCATTTTTAATACGCTTCTCATTAGTTTGGTAGCATTTTTTTTTCTTTTCTCCCTTCTCCAGTTACAACACAAATGCCAAAAATAAGCCGATACTTTGAACACGGTACAAGCAATTGTAGAAACTTTCTCCATGAAGTTCTGTTGTATCCTGTAGTTTTCTAGCACTGCTGTGGTCTGGACCACCTCTGTCCTCAGGTGCTCAGGCAGCGGCGTGCCTGAAGGACCCGTCTGTATCTGATGGTCTTGGAATTGGCACTAAATCTTTCAATGCCACTCAGATTTATTTTCTCAAACAAGAAAATTGGCCTGGCAGTGTCATACTTGTTTATTTGCATAAGGCTCGGAGTGGAGAGAGGTAGTTCTCTTCATTTGGGAGCTGTCGTGCTGTGCCTGTAACGCTGCTTTAGAGTAGAGATGGATTTCTGTATCCTTAATGTGCCTACTAAATATTCCAGAATGACCATATGCTTTCTCAAGGGAAAAGATAGACTGTATGTTTCGCGTTAGAGAAGAAACTTCGAAACCTGTTTCAAAAATGGAAAGGCAATTCTGGTTTCAGATAGTGGGAAGTGCAGTTAGTTTTTCCAGATTGCATTGCTGGTAATAAGTGGTGCATAAAATTCCATCTTTGTTTGGATTAGAAAATAAATTATTAATGCAGCTGAATCCTTTTTTCCAACTGCCTGTACAGTCAATAATTTATAGTGGCACAGGCGTAAGATACATATTTTTAACCATCCGCCTCCCAGAGAACTGTTGTTCAGATTGAAAACTGCTGTCCTTCCTAACGAGCTCAGGCGCAGTGGGTGTTCGTGCATTATGGATGAGCCATGCTCTGCTCCTGCAGCCCTCGTGCGATTCCATGCACAGATTTCCTGCTGAAAGGGAGCCGAGCGCTCCATTAGAAATTCAGAGGGAGAGACAGGAGTGGCTTTGTTTTATGTGTTTCACTTGAACGTGGGAGATGTACTGCTGTGTGGACTTGATGTTGGAATGTTTTAACAGAAAATCTCAACATTTACAGTAGGTATTTACATTCTCTGAATGCCAGCTCTTTATCCTAAACAGGGGTCTTCATGTACAAAAGCTGTTGCTGCCAGCGCCTGTGCCTCAGCGTCCGGGCTGTTTAACACTCATTAAACACTCCGAGCTCATTAAACACTCCGAGCCTGCTGTTGCCTTCATGTTCCCCCGTCTCTGTAAGCTGTTTGAGACCGTTACAGGCATGTGTGCTGGTGCTCATCCCTGGCTTAATCTTTCCCTGTCGTTGCAGCCCTCCTTGCTCTTTGTTCTTAATGGGACCCTGAGGCTTTGCTAACCCAGTTTTGATAGCCCTGCTAGTAAAGCGGGAGAAGTCTGGCTGTAATCAAAGTCCCTCTGCCTTTGAAACAGCCTTTGCAGCATTCTCATTGCGGATTATTTTCTGGTCATCTTTCACACACTGAGAATCCTCTCTTGGTCAGTGGTGTGATTTTGAGTGTCCATTTAGGTCTTATATCTTGTGTAACGTTACCTTTCTCTGCTCGCTGCGCTGCCCGTCAGATTCTCCTCCCTTGCTTCCTGGGTGTTTGGCTTCAACTAGACATTTCGAAGACAGGAATTTATTTTTGGTCTTTTAATTTATTTTTTAAAAAAAATCTATCCTTACTTTGAAGTCTAGAAAGGCTGTCCCAGGGTGACTTGAAGCTTATCGATCAAAGCCACACCTAGGGCTCTAGCTGAAAATTCAGTGATGCTTTGGTGCACGGGCCCAGTTTGCTCTTCCACAAACGCTGTAAACAGGTCAGCTTTAGTCCCTTCGGATGTTGTTTTGTTTCTTTACTTACCTTCCTTGCCCATACCCATCCATCTGATGCAAGGTTCTTCAAAGTGGGGACAATATTCTCCATCTTTTGTCTTTCTAAAGGTGCACCGAAAAGAACTAGAAGCTCCTCTCTGCAGGTTGCAAAAGTCCCATGGAGGTGCTAGCTATACGGTGAAAACTTTCTTAAGGTGTTTGCTGGTACATGTGCCTGGGCAGATCCCTCTGACTTCTGACCTGTGCTGAGCTGGCTTCTTTCAGGGTGAAATGCTGCTGAAATGTCAGGTTTTTAAGGGAACCTTTTCTTAAGACTCCACCGGATGCACAGGGATATTGCAGGTGTAAAAAGAAATCACGAGTAGCTGTGAAAGTGCTGATGAGGTGCCCTGTCAGGTCCAGCTACTAACACCCAAATGATCATTTATTACATTAAAAAGTAACTGGACCATGGAAGGACCTTGTATCCACTGGAGACTGGTGGGTGCCTGTGTCATGGTGCTGGACAGGTGGGACACCCCGTGAGTGTGTCCCCCCTTCCAGCATAGGGGGGAGGCTAAACTGTCACTTGGACTCTGTCAGCCTGTCTCCTTGATGTGAAACACCGGAGTAG